CAAGTGTCTCCTACTTGTCTCTGTTGAGTAGATAGACCTTACAATTCTTAGGTTAGAAACTCTTAGTCAATTTAATTGTATAGTCCTAGAGACAGTGTTTAGAAAGCTAGTTGAATTCCTCTTTACTAAAGACTTTGAGAAACTCTTAGACAAAATCTGACAGGCTGAGTCTATGTGTGTTCTAGAGTAGAGTCATTCTGAAAGGGTTCTAGACTAGTTCTGTCTTAGACATCTTTCAGATTGACTCTGTTCTACCTTAACTAGAATATGTGTCCACATATTCATCCTAGTTAAAGAAGAACAACTAGTCACCTTCATCAGAACTGTTAGTAACATTAGAAGTATTTGTATCTACTTAGAACAGTAGTATAAAATAGTTGTAAGACTTAAGACACTGATTGAATGTAAGTGTCTACTCTAACTAGTTAATAGTAGGGTTGTGAGCCTTAAGTTATTTGAATCTAATAAAGATGTCTGTCTTTCTAAGGTTAGTAACTCTAAACTTAATACTTTCCTTATAATCCTAAATGGTTATCTGTAGTTGGACAAACTTAGTAATCTGAATATTCTGGTTCAGGGTTCTGTCTACATTATATACTAGGATTAGAAGTAGAACACATTAAGTAGAGAGGTAGTGTTCCTACACAAAGGCCTTATTAATACACAAACTAGTGTATTTACTATCTACTAGAGTTATTGTTCAGATCTGGGGGGATCCTAAGAAGGGAGCTAAGAGAACAAGAACCTAGAGCTAGTATTTAGAGTATCCTCTAATAAATTACTACTTGTTCTAAAGGGAACATACAGCTTGTACAATCTTATCATTTAAGAGAGTAAGTATATGTACTAACATTTCCTTATTAACTGCTCTCTTTCAACAAGGACAGACCTATGTTCTCAACTGTAAACTCAGCTAAAGCTATCCCTACTTAATACTATAAACAAACTACTAAGTAGTAAATAGGGCTAGGTAGTATTCTAAATATTCTGAGTTCTTAAAATGTAAAAGTAGCAGGTTAGATTGTGTGGATTTAGACTTAAATAAAGTGTAAAGAGAAGAATCAAAAGAATCAGAAGAAATAAGAGAACTATCTACTTTTGTTTTTAACTTTTTTCTTTTTAATAAATAATTTTGTTGATTTACTTTTTCTACTTTTTCTACTTTTCTTACTTTATTTACTTCTAATCCTTAAATCAAAAGTGACTGTTAAAAAATCTGAGTCATAGCCCTTCAGTACTGTATTTACTGTTAGGTCTCTACAAAATCCTAGAGTACATAGTCAGAGTCTGAGAGTTCTAAAGTGACTTCCAGATTTGTAGAAAAGGCTTCTTACTACAAATCCTACTTGTTACTCATTATTACTCTAATGACCTAACAGATATACTGTTACTTCTGTAGACAGTCCTTAATTTGATACTCTAACTTTCTGTAGGCAAAGTATACTCCTTACTTTTAGGCTTCTCTAATGTTTATTAGAACAGATTGATTGTAAATTACAGACAGATTAATCTAAGAGCTCAGAACTGTTAGAGTCAGACACATGTACAGGTGTTCTGTACAGACTTGACACATCTGAGCTATAGCTTAGTCAAAGGAAATAGTGTGTGTCTTCCAATTAGTATAAGTGATTAGTTCTAGCATTATTCTAAGAATCTTATTAACTAGTTCTAGGTAAAGAACTTTCTCAAGTATTCTAATAAGAACATTATTAAACCTGAGTACAAATCCTACCTTCTAGGCTAGGATATTGAACTCCTGAAAGAAGGTATTAGTAGAATGTTTGCCCTGTTATAGAGATACAAGCTTGTTCTACACATTATACTTCTTATTCAGATTAATAAAGGAAGTACAGAGTTACTCTATAAATTCTGAATATAACTTATTGTTCTAAAGTCAGATTAGGCTTCTAATCTGATAGCCTTTAATCCAGTTCTGAGCCTAGGTGGCTGTGTTGCCTTCCTTCATGAAGGAGAGGACAAATAGGATGTAATTAAGATCTAAGAATAAATTAGTTGAAATAGTAGCTACATATAGTTCAACTTAGTACTAGAAGTCCTTAAAGTACTACTTATTAAAGTCTGAAGGGTAGGCTACATACACTTTCTTTCTAGAACAGGTTGTGACCTCTAGAACAACTAGAACAGGTTCTGAGAGAGCTAAGGGCACATAGTTAGTAAAGGCCTCTTAGATAAAGGTCTGTATATATTAAGCTAAGTCTGCTTGTAACTACTAATCTGGTAGGACAATAGTAGTAACAGTTAGTGTAGGAGGGTCTATATTTACACTATAAAGGAATCAACACTAAACTAAAAGGGGTAATGAATAGAAGAAGGGTGGTAAAAGTTTAAAAGGGTTTAGAAAGTTTAAAATTTAAAAATGTAAAAGGGTTAGGACAAAGAAAAGAGATTAACACAATAATAAGTACTAATGTCTGAAACATAAGAGAGTTGTAGGGTAGTAATGAGGAGTCTTAATCTAATGTCAGTAATAGTGTAGAGGGGACCTAAAGGCTCAGCAAGAGGACCCAGGCTACAACTATTCTACACAACAGAAATACAGAATGTAAGTACTAGAACATAGTCAGAACTGTCAGAACAGACTGAGAGAGAGATTAAGACAAGAGTTGAGTATATAGAGTAAGTCTAAGAGTACAGAACTACTTAGAGTAGACAAGATCAAGACTACTAGACCAGTCTGATCTTGTACACTTATATATACTAAACTACACAAGAGTACTTAGAGAATAGTAAGCTACTAAGAATAATAAGTTATAAAGAATAAAAGAAAGGAAGGTCAAAGATAAAGGTACAAGGAATGAAGGGATAGACAAAGGGTAAGGGACTATAGAATGAACAAAGAATGAAGGAGTGGTCAAAGGAATAGAATGATAAAGTAAGGAGGGGTAGTAGTAAGAGTCAGCCTGTATATAGTTTATAAACAGTGCCTCTAAGGGATAGAAGTCCTGAGTTCTAGTATGGAAGGGTGTAGAACCCTTAGAACTGAAGGTGTAAGAGTAGAGAACTGTAACAAAATCACTCCAAGTCTGTTTTACAGACACAGTCTCAACCTTTAGAACCTGCTCAACCTTACAATTCAACTTGTAAGAACTAAGTAACAACTAAGGCCTAGTAACAAAGACTACTTTGTTGTACAGAAGAATAAGGCAGAGGCTGCTAGTAATGTAAGGATTGGGACTATAGAAATAATATAATATTCACTATCTTTTTGTATTAAATAATTAAATATAATTACATTTTATTAATTATTCAATACAAAACTGTATACAAAACAAATACAAGCTATCCAAATGCTTGTAATGATTTGTATATATTGTAAGACAATACTATACTGTCAAAAAATAATAAGTATATTTTAACATTATTATTTTGGGAGGTATGTTATAATCACTTATATACCTTGACAATATGTACAATTATAATTAATATTAGTAATTTCAATAATTGTTCTAGATTCCCATTATACCTGTATTAAATTATAATTAACTTGTGAAAACCCTTATGAAGAATATAATTGCTTTAACAAAATTTACAAAAAGTATAAAATATACCTGGTTATAATCTAATACAAGTGTTGTGACTTTTTCGTGATGGTCATTTTCATAAATATTGTCACACGTGTGATTCGTGATTTTTGTCACACTAAGTACACTCAAGTACAAAATCTATCATAACTCAACTAATACTTGACCAAATTACATGATCTAAGTTGTAAAAATTATACTTTTAAAGTGTCTTTCATATTCTAGAAAAAATAAAGTAAAATGAGCAAAATTTGAGTAAGATACAACACAATATGTGAGTTTTCCCTATATTTCATGTATACAAGTTTTCCTAGCCCTAAAACTGATTGTACAATACTATAAACTAGTCTAAATGAAGAACATAACTTTATTGTTAATTTACATATTGAATTCTAACTAGGATACAGAATACACATATAAGTATAATACATATTTAAGTTTGCTAAAATTGAGTACTTTCCACCAACCTCTCTACACTCAGGGAAGGTTCTTCTGAGTATTATTTATGTTTGTAAATTTATTATAAACAAAATATATTAATATAAGTACTTTTATAAGTTACAGTAA